AACTTAAAAGGAACATTCTGTGGTTGTTACTGTCTTTCAGGATCTTTCTGGATCTTCACTTGTTCAGGACCTGGCAACATCTATGCGAAAACCGGCGGTCTGGACTCTTCCCCAAGATTATTATAAGGCTGGCTTAGCTTTGTTGGTAAGTAGTCTATTTCCACTCCCTGTCAAGTTCTATCGATACCCTTTGAGCAAAAAAAGCCAATGATGATGCTCATTGTCAATTTGCAGGACCTCATCCAAGGTATACCTTCCAAGCTTACCTCTCGGGAATTATTTAGCATCCTTGATGATGCTAGCGAAAGAACATTTTTATGTGCTGGTACAGCTGAGTCTCTGCAAAAATATGTTTTTGATGGGGATGCTTCCAAAAAAGGTCCTGAGCTGAAAAACTTGGTAGCTTGCACTAGCTTCCTTTTTGAACAGAAACTGGTAGGTCTTTCTACCTCACCTCTTAATTCCTTCTCATCTATTTCTTGAGAACTATCCAGCTTTGCGTGTTGTCTATGTGTACATGTCTATATGAATAAATGCCACCATATTGCATTGAAATGAATATTTTGGGTTCTGTTCTTGATAATTTTTTGAAAATGCTGTTAGTTGCTAAGCATTCTCTGTTTAGTTTTTCCTTTCTTCGTATCAGACTGACCTTGTCCTTCAAACCAACATCCACAGTGACTTGTGTCTTGTATGCCTAGGTAAAAGCATGGTTTGCAGACAAAGATGCTGAAGCTTTGAGATGCCAGAAGTTGCTTTTTGAAGAGGAGGAAGCTGCTCAAAAAAAGTGAGCACTTTTACCGTATCTTTTGTTCTCTGATATTGCCTTTTCATGTGTCCCACTAGCGATTATGCCTTTCGACTGATCATCATTTTTCTGATGTTCTTAGTGAGCAGTCAGTAATTTATGATGTGGTATTTCATATTTTCCCTTTTCCCCTTTTATTGTACTAAGAATTATGGCTCTTGGTTGATTATTAATTTTATGATGTTTTGGGTGGCTAGTCAGTAATTGATAAAGAAGTATTTTTTATTGTATGGAATGAAGTGTTAGGAGAACGTCTACATACTCGGTGTTTGACTATTTTGAGAAAAAGATTTATATGTGGTGAAGTTTTGTGCTCTTGGAGTTTATTCCCTCCTTTCTTGAAGCAGAATAGCAGATTGCTTTTTGAGTAGCAAATAGTTTTACTTTTTCATTTGGTTGTCAAAAACCATTTTCACATGTTTTGAAGACGCAGGTTTTTGCATTTACAATCCTGTTTATGTGGAGAAAACTATTTGACACGCTTAGCATATCCTGTTCTACTTCAAATAAAGATTTTATCACTAATGTAAAAATAAATTACACGATTTGTTGCTGGGGATTTGATCTAGACACTGTTGGTTCCCATTGTTCACCTGGTTCCCAAACTGTTCGTCACTAGCCCTCGAGGGCTTCATGGATGTAAAACAAAAAGATACTCCCTCCGTCCAACAATAGTTGTCCACTATTGGCTTGACACACACCTTAAGAAACAATAAATAATAAGGGTAGTATTACTATATTACCCTTCAAATATATTAAATTTAATGCTTTAGAAAATGTATTAGATATTGAATTAGAATGCTATCTAATAGCAAGGGTAAAATGGACACAAAGGGGTAAGTATTGTTGGACATCTATTTTTAGTACTGGACAAGTAAAGATGGACGGAGGGAATGCATGATTATATATTCACCTGTGCAGTTACATAAACTCATTTTCACCGTCATTCTTCTTATTTTGTTGGTAGGCAAGCTGAGTTGTTGGAAAGGAAAAAACAGAAAAAGCTTAGACAGAAGGAACAGAGAGAAAGGGAGCAATCAATTTGGGAAAGAGGTGATTTGGAGGTTCCAATGGCAGAATCTTCCATCCTTTCAGCTGCAGTATCTGATTCTAATTCAAGTACTCCCGAAGTATCTGACGATACCTCCTCCTGCCTTGAACTTGTACAATTCTCTAACAATGAAGCTATAGACATTGAAGCGCAACTTAATCTCTCTAACCAGCAGCATCTGGATCTGGTAGAAATTCAGGATGTTGCACCCCCCCACCCAGTATCTGCACAGAGTCGACGGCATTTCCCCCATACTCAGTGGCAAGTGCCAAAGTCACAAAGAATGGGGCGAAATGGTTCCCATAACAACCAGAATCATCAAGTACAAAAACTTGAACCAGTGCAGAAGCATGGAGTTTTTAAAGACCGAGGTGCCCCTGTTAATAGCAGTAAGATTTGGACTAAAAAAATTAGAGTGCTAAATGGTGAGCGCTTTAGATCAGAGCCGCAGAAGGAAGCAATAGATCAAAATCAGAGTAACTGTGAAGTGATGATTGGTTCTATTTCTGTTCCAATGAAAAATTGCAGCACTCCCGGACTGGGTAACTGTCCTGCTGTAGAAAGAGACAACTTCGACAGCACAGAACCAGCCATGACTAAAAAGTGTAATCTTGCAGTGAAACCAGCAAATCAAGATGCTCTTCAGGGTGGGTCAAATGGGGCAGCTGTGAAGCTTTGGAGGCCTGTGAGCAGGCATGGAAGTGGACAACATCCCGAAGAGGCTGTGATTAGTGAAAAGTTGGATAATCAGATTTCATCCACTGAAAATTGTTTGCAATTGTGCTCTATGGACAACCCTATTGGCAAAAGTAAGAATTACACATATCAGGTTGATGGCAATGTTCATCAAGGTCTGGGATTTTGCAGTACTTCTGCAAAAGCTTTTCTCTCTGAGAGTATGTTCCTTATGCTGTTATCCGTGCTTCTCTCTAAGTTTCTACTGACTTATTTTCCGCTTCATTTTCGTCTGACCTGTCTGAAAATGAATGTAGGATGGAAGGAGGCTATCTCCGGGGATCATGTTACATTAGTCCTTTCCAATGACACTGAAGTTTATGGACATCCAGATGCGCAAAACTGCGGTTCAGAAGCAGCTCCAACATCAGATGATCAGGAGCATGGCGTTCTTGTCAAAGCTGATAACCAGCAGACAAATACTGGAGTTTCTAATTTATCTTCCCGTGGCAATTCTAAACTTAAGTTCAGGCAGAAGCCTGATAAGTCTATTAAGACAAGGTACATTCCAAAGCAAAAACCATAATTTAGGATACAAGTATTTCTTGATTATACCAGATTTAGTCAGTCCAGCAGAGGTTCCGTTTTACTTGTGGTCTTCTGTCACAGTTACAGTTGAAGTAAGGTTTTCTAGAGTAGCTTATATCCCGTCTGCTTCTTGGGAGTTGTTGCCGCATTTTGGCTAGGGTATCCTTCTTTTTGCAGCTTACAGATTCTGTAACAAGTTGGGTTTTAAAATTTTTTAGTCTCATTGCTCATTATTTTCTGCTATGGCAGCTCGCCAACTTCTCATGTTAGTTTGAACAATATATGATTATAGAAACAATTGATAAAATGGTCCCAGCTTTTCACAGACCAACTGCTTGTCTTTCTTTTCTGAGCTCTCCAGCATTTTTGGTGCTTATTTGCTATGTTTGACTGGCCCTTAGGGGTGTCGGGTTTTTTATTTGATGTGCAGTCGAGTTGGCATGTGGTGCTTGTGGTCCTTTTAGTATAATACACATGCAAATCAACCCTTCCCCTCATTTATAGCCTTCTTTCTTTTATTTTGTTTTAGCATCTGGTATTTGAAATTTACTGGCTCGATTAATCTTGAGTTGCGTCCAATGGGTCTGCTAAAAGGTAGCACTTCCTCTTACGCCTGCATTTCCAGGCTTCCACTGGGTTGATTATTCTGGATTTGCATCGACTAATAGACTTGCTAAAAGGTAGCACTTCTACAGTTGAATTCCAGGATCTCATCGGATACTGCCATACTGGCATTCTTTCTTATGTTGTACTGGCTATTGATCGTATTATTACCTCTTAGAAAACAAATCTAGAAGGTTCACCCCGACATGTGTGATTTAATTTATCACGACTTACAATATTGTCGGTTTTCTATATCAAAGCTTCAAGTAAATATTAAGGAGTGTAACTCACTGATATACCTAGTGATCTGTTTCTCAAGTGTTCTTTGGGATGATATTCAGATCGATCATGTTTTAACTGATTAATGTTATTATTTACGACAATTACATATTCATACATATAATGTAATCCCACGAATAGTGATGGATACATACCTTTAGGTAAGGTAGAAAAGTGATTTTTGATAGACCCTCATTATCCCAAGAATAGTGGTGGGTATATAGCTTTAGGTAATCCCAAGAATAGTGGTGGCCACCTAGTTTAAGGTAGAAAAGTGATTTCTAATAGATTTGAAAAGATTGTTGGCGCCTTTCCCACAGGAATTCAGTCTTGTTTCCATTGCCTTAGCCTTTATATGCCTCGTCTTGCCTTCTATATGCCTCATCCTGCCTTCTTTGGGCTACGAATTCAGTCTTGTTTCCATCGCCTTAGCCTTTGATATGCCTCGTCTTGCCTTCTTTGGGCTAGGCACCTAAGAGCAGACTCAGTCTTGTTTCCATCACCTTAGCCTTTGATATGCCTCGTCTTGCCTTCTTTGGGCTAGGCACCTAAGAGCAGACTCTAAAGGGAAGAGCGTGGTCTTGAATTTAGTCTAAAAATTCATTCACATCGATAGGAGGCAGAGAACCATTAAGAAGAATACGAAGCATTTTCGAGCCCATCAAACATCACACAAACTATAGTACCCTCAGTTAAAGCAAGAGATACACGAGAAACAAGTATGTGAAGCAATAGCGAATATGTAAATCAAACCAATATATAAAAAAAAAATTCCAAAATTTATCAAGTCCAACATTAGTAGTTTGCATTTTTCTCCCTCTTGTTAAAGAAATGGAAGTTGAAATTTCCAATATCCAAAACAGCAATAATATTTGCAGTTAACTGTATTTATGCATATCCTTTCCTTCTCGATCAATTAAATTATGTACAAACAGATTCAAAGAGATATACAAATCCATTTATATGTCACCATTAATATAACATACTAAAACTAGTCAAGATGAAAGCAAAAAATTATACATTAATCAATCTTTTGATTTGCGGCCACAGTAGTATATCTTAAAGGCCTTAGGAAGATACACAGGCAACAAAAAACAGAACAAATTAAAACACCAAAACACCATATTAGCAGCAGCCAATCCTCTACCCATATACACCCTCCTCACATTTCCTCCATATTCTTCATCCACTTTCGATATTTCAGTCTTCAACCACTCCATAATCGTAAAAATCCTCCTCGAATTGTAAAAAACTGGAACAAAAACTCTTATAGGCAGCGAAAATTGACCAGTAAACGTCAATCCTTCCATGAAAACTTGACTAGCCAGCAAGAAAACATGTGGGGCTGCTGCTTTGATACCTTCTTTATCGCCCTCATAAATTCCTTCGAAAATATAAAGTATTGGGAGGAATAATCCAACCAGAGCTCCAATTGAGACGTAAAGATTTAATACACTGTTTTTTTCGCCGAAAACAGGCAGCTGCTCTGTTTTAGGAGAAATTGGGGGAAAGGCAATTTTGGAGATGAAGTAGATGTAAATTAGGGAGAATAAGACAAAAGAGAAATCTTCAATACTAACCATGCCACTAGAAGAAAAGATGATTATGATGGCGAGGACGTTAAGCTGTCCAAAAGTGAAAAATCCTCTGTTTTGTTGTTGTTGTGGTTTTTTCTGGGAATTGTTCGTGATTTGTTCAGAGTTTTCATCTTTAAGAATGTCACTACATGGACCAACTCCACCTGACATTTTTTCCTTTAAGAAATTTTGTTGTTTTTTTATGGTGATTTATTTTTTTGTTGAAGATAATGAAGAACTACTGTAGTTGAGAAAGTGACTGAGAGGAGAAGAGTAATAGTAAAGAGATTTAAGGGGAGGAGATCATGAGTACACGTGGTAGTTGGAGGTTTTGGATAAAATACGTGGCTGAAAAGAGATGACGTAGTGGAGATATTAATTATATCCTCGTTTAGTGTTTTTTTGAAGTCAAATTTTCAATAAATGAATATGAATTAATTTATTTTGATTAACTAGTTTGATCAATATAAATATGAATCAATTACTCCTCCATTTCATATTAATTTAAGCTTTGAGCTTTTTTTCATTTTTAAAATTTACTTAAGTTTTTAATCTTCAAGACTATTTTTAAAATATTCTTCCAATTTTACCCTTTAAGTTACTTATGGAATTAGTTATTATAATTAATGTTTAGTTATTTTTGACAATAATTAATAAGGGTAAAAATGAAAAATTATGTTCAATTTATGTCCTAGCTTATTTTTCTTAAAGGGTATGAAACACCTCAAGCTCAAGTTAATATGGAATGGAGGGAGTACTTAGTTTTTGAATGTAGGGTAAATGTTTTAATAGGAACGACATATAAATAGAGGGAGTATTTGGTTACAAATATTATTTAGTATTGGTATTATTATAATTATTTTGTTGGGTTATTGTATTCTGTATGATACAAATCAAAAGTTATTTTGTTGAATTGGTGAAGATAATATCAGAATGAACTTGAATTTAGTGAGAATGTAGTAAGTAGGCACATGTCGTTTGGCGGTCGAATTGGGGCTGTCGTGCGACCGTGACCTACTCTTCCTTGCCAATAAAAACACCGAAACCCAGTTACAGATTACACAAAAATATATGTGAATTGGTACTATTTTTATTTCTATTCATAGACAGACAGCTTTTGTTTGCTCATCTCTTTTATAAATAAAGATAGTTGTCAGTTATAGTTAAATATAGATCATGAAGAGTAGTGTTTGTCAGTTTGACACCTTGTTCTTACTTACTCTTTTGGCATATTCAATTTTTGCTATTTCCCCAAGCACAGTTACCATAAAGTCCCAGTAATTAATAGTTGAAATTCAAATTATATGTCCCCTGTAGTGTTTCAACGATACAGTCATGGAGGGCAAAAGCTATTTCCAGGACTGAAAAGTGGGGAAAGGGAGGAAGAAGGAGCCACAAGCTCAGACTAATCATTTCTATGACGAAGAAACAGAAGCACGATTTCTATTTTTGTACATATAATATACATTGGTGTCAGTCAAGTAGACTTCATTACACAATGATTTTCAAATCCCTTTAGGTATGAAGCAATTTCATGGGAGGGGGAATGGTCATTATACATTCCTTTTATGGGGGAAGAGAAGCAAATATTAATTAAAAAATGAAACAAAATAACTAAAAAGGGTGGGAGGTTACAAAAAACATTTGGACTAAATAAGAGAACATAGAAAATCAAAACCATGGTTTAAAGAAATTTGGAATCTAGTGCAAAACTGGAAACTTAATCTCTGTTTTGAAATGCACAAGTTTTGCCAATGCCATAATCACAAACAACGGAAACTTTCCTTCTATTCTGATATTTCACTACACTTTGAGCACCTGGCGTGTATCCAGGGAGATGAACTTGCTTTTCGCAGCTTGACAGGAGACTTTACATGAAATGGATACCGAAGCATAACCAGTCTTCATTGCAACAGCAGAGACAGACAACCTGGCATGTTAAGCTCAAGCTGAATACAAAAAAACGCTTTGTCATTTGTCCACCATTTCAATCACTATCCCCGGTCCACACCTGCTGCAAAGATTAGAAACTCCCCAATGAGACACAAGCTTCTAGCATAAAACAGACATTTGTTTTATCAAGTCATCTCATGTTGATTTCGGGTCTTTCTAATTTTATTCCTTTTCAACAGGAGGAAGTGCAAAGCAAATCAATAGTAATAGTAGTTCCCAACCAGAACCTAGCTGGAGGGAGACCAACTCAGGAAACTATTATTTCCTCCTTCTCCAGAAGGGCAAGACCCAAAAAAGATGGGGTTTATAGTACCTGCTTGTGTCTGGTGGGCTATTAAGAGAGAAAGAAACCTCAGGTGTCATGAATATTACTAACACCATTCAGAAGGTTAAAGAAAATTGCATTAGCATGCTGTATTTTTGGTGTAAAGAAGAAGGTATAGAAGAAGTAGAACAGTTGGTAGATTTTCTAGGATCTATGTAATTAGGAAATAGCTTGTAATTTTTTGGAGGTAGCCAGCATACCCTTAATGCTAAAGAATACAACCTTATATCAAAAAAACATTCCCATCTGTTGGAGCAACTCAACAAGAAAGGTAAGCTGCCACTGCCACTGCCAGGTGAATCATAAATGAAATAATGAGGTCATGAGAAAAATCATGCATGGGGCTGGTGGGAGGTGGGAGGTATCCCGTGGAGTTAGTTGAGATGCACGTGAGTTGGCCCAGACACCATGGTTATCAAAAGAAAAAATCATGCATGGGATTGACAAGCATTCAAACTAAAATACTTCCCTAATATGTCTTCAAAGAATCATTGCAACTAGGGCCTAGGGGTGTCAAAATGAGTCCAAATATAGGTATCCACACAATTTTATGGGTTGGGCTCAAGATAATTTGAATTGGGTCAATCTCAACCCATTCAAGCCTTAACCCATTTTAAAAGAATCCTCAATTGAGCCCAATTTAATCTCCAATTACAACTTGTTCTAAGACTCTTTATTTGCAAGACTCCTTATTTGCATTGGAGTAATGTATGTTCCCAATTCCCATATTGAAGATATGAATTACTATCTATTTATATCTTCTAGGATTTATCTATCCATTTGTAACTTATCTTTTTTATTTTCTTGAGTTGAAATTTAAATTGTGGTTACAAAAGATAAATAACAATACGTTAAAATTATTGAGATTGAGCGGGTTAAATTGGATGGATCGTGACCCAACCCAATTTTTAGTCCATTTGACACCCCTAATTGCAACTATGACTAGAAAAAAGACAGTTGTGGCAACAAGTTTATTAATTCGCCTTGTTTCGAAAGCAACATTTTGAAATAAACTAGGTTAAATATCACCCAGACTCAACCGGGGAAACCTTGCTGTGTGAAATCAGAAATGTGACGCATTAAACAAAAGAGACAGAGTTTGACTTCAAGGAATACTTATAGTTCTTTGGGAAGTGCAAACAGATCAATGGAGTACCACAAAAAATCTGGAACCATTGCTGACACTACCGAGGCATCATTTCCAATTTTCATCTTTAAATTTACTCTTCTAATGAAGTATGTTGGATAAAACAGAGAGCAATCAGGTCAGGTCTCCATACAACCATATTCTTTTACTATTAAGACTACAGTTTAATTCTAACTTCTTCAAAATAGCCTAAAAATTCTTGTACTTCTGGTATTAATTTACTCTTCTAACGATGAGTGTTGGATAAACCGGAAAGCAATCAGGTCGAGTCCACGTACGACCATATTCTTCTATGATGAAAACTCTACAGTTTAATTCAACTTCTTCAAAATAGCCTAAAAATTCTTGTACTTTCGGTATTTAGAATGATAGAAAGAGTTTCCTTGTTACTCCACATTCTTGCGGACAGAATTCTTTTTCAGCAAGATCTTTCCAAAAGAATATTGAACTTTCCCTAAGTTATCAATAAATGTTTGGTTCAGGAAAAGTAAAAGAAGATCTTACCTGTACATCTCGTCATGGAACCATTTCCATTCATGGAAATTGGTCTAAGCCGTCTCGTCTCCTGACCCAACGACAAAATCTGTTGTATCCTTTCTGGCCAGACAGAGTCAAGTCTCCGAGCAAAATCCTCAACCTCCCTGCAATATAGAAATACAAAACAAGTGAAAAATCACATGTCTTACCATGGGAATAGTTAAAGAAAACTTGCCCCATACAGACATAGCCAGGGGCGGACCTAGGTGGACCCTAGGGGGTTCACCCGAACCCCCTCGTCAAAAAATTACACAGTATATATAACGTCAAATTCTGATTTTATGTGTATATATATTAAAATGAACCCCCTGAAAACAAAGTACAGGATTGGCACAGTGGATAAGTGGTTCAACAAATGCCCCTAGGTCACGGGTTCGAATCCCATAGACAACATTTTTCCCTCCTTTAAATGCTTCGGAAAATGGAAGTTTTGGGCTTAGACTTTCTTCTTCTTTTTCATTATTTTTTCCTTTTGTTCCATTTCTTCTTTTTAATTTGTTTTTGTTTAAATTTATTAGACACATTCTTTTTTTATTATTATTTTTTATTCTTTTTATATCTATTATTCATTTTGTTTCAACGTAACTCATTTTTCATATACTAACTTGAATAACTCTTTCAAAAAATGATGAATTATATTTAATTAGAAATTGAGATAGAAATATAATTTATTTTTAAAAAAAAGAAGATAAATTAGATGTAATTGAATGAAGAAACTTAAATATCGTCAACATCCTTTCAAAAATATTAATTTATAGAATTCATGAAATTTCTTTTATATTTTTAATTCTATTTTAGAGAGATGGAAACTAAACATATTTGATTTAATCGTTATTTGTCTTTTTTACAAATTATGACTAACCTAATAATTTGAACTATATGAACTAAAAAAATTGACAATGCTATTTATTTATCTTCTGAATATGCATTATAATATTAGTAACTCTATTCTTACACACTTTTAGAGAATTTTGACGATTTTCATAGTAATATGTGATTGAATGAATGCTAATTTAAAATATTTAAAAACTGAAAAATAAAGTAAAACATTACCAAATAAAAGTATAAAAAGCACAAGAAACTTTAAGAATGCTCGATGGAGCATGATAAAAGTAGAAAGAAATGACTAATACGGTATGATAAAGTAAGTTAAATTTAGCATGATAAGGTAAATATCTTTCTTCTCCGTCTTGCTCCCTTTTTCATCATTTAATTTTCACGTGTTTTAGGAGTTAACTTTTGTAATATAGTCGATCCACTAATATTCTTATGAATGTATCTTTGTCCTCGATATCTTTGATTAGTTTAGTCTTTACTTTTATGAACCAATGAAATATCTATGGTTCTTGTACAAAGAGCATGCCGAGGGACTACTACGCTCACCGCGCACTTGCATTACCACCTGAACTTCTCCTTTATACTTTGAACCCCCTGGGTCCGCCACTGGACATAGCAGCCCATGCTAAGAGAAATATGGAGACATCTCGCTGTAATAGATAGTAATCATAGTGCCTAGATACACAGACAGACTACCATAACACGTGGATGATATGACAGTTCCACATCAATTAAATAAATCCATATATATACTATAATAGTTAAGCAGATTCCAGCTAGAAGAATGAAAGCATTATAATGTATTAATGTTGATAAACTTGCAGTTAGCACGATGTTTAGGAAAGACTACCAGAATACAAAACCAAGCAATAAGTTAATGCCAGTAAGGGTTGTACGAAGGAAGCAGGCCAAACAAATGAAATAGAGAAAATTCATGGAATTGGATGGACAAAAGACGGATCGTCAAAAGAGAGCGATATTACATTCAGTTTTAGAATAACAAAATATATCTCTAGAACACTAATACAAGATGATCTTTGATTAGTGTTCATCGGGGTAGATTTCAAAGGCTGTGAGGAGAAAGCGGTAGAATTATTTCAAAAAATCGACAGGATGAACAAACCTGTCAATTTCTTCCTTCCTTGCTGGATCTAACTCATCATCAATATCAAAGTCATCCAAGTCGAGCTTAGATGAAAACATTGCAGATGGCGAGTTTTGCAGCTTAGAATTTCTACTTGGAGAAGACCCATCGTTGGTGTCACCATTTAGGCAGCCAGATGTATGGCAATTAGATTCCTGAGTACCAGCAAGGATCATATCAAAACAAATAGAAGATAGTTACAAGAAACACACTCCTCTCTTACACTGCAAACATAAAACAAAATAAAGAAACAGAAAAGAACCTAAAGTACATGAGATACCAACCTTATTGTAGTTTCCAGCTTCATTATTTGAAGACAAATTTCTAGCTTGTTCTTTTCTCCCTCGAGATTTCTTTTTATTTTTTGTTACTCTTACACCCTTTGAGTCTGCAAAAAAAGAGAGCCATGATACAGTTAAAAGAAGGAACTTGGCACACACAAAACAAGAACAGGGTTCTCAAAACAGTAAAGGTTGGTTAAAAAACTTTTTTATTTCAGATAGAGGCTTGTAAACACGAGAAGTATACAGTTCTGCATAAATTGATTAGCAACCAACTCATGTGCATCTACTATTGACAAAGTCAATGACAAAACTAGATTACGGTATTATAAGGTCTGGTGACCATACAGACTACAGATATGATGATTATGCAGTAAAACATATTTACTTATTGGGAAAAAAAAACCTTACGCAATTGATTCATCAAAAGCATAAGAACGGATGGCCCCGATCATAGGTTATGCAAACTAAATACTCCCTCTGTCCCAATTTATATGACTCACTTTCATCTTTAGTTGGTCCCAAAAATAATTACACATTTCTATAATTAGTAACAATTTAACTTTAAAATGCTCATTTTACCCTTAATGAAATAATTTACAACCACACAAATATCTATGACTTATTTTAGAACATAAGTTTCAAAAGTCTTTTCTTTTTTAAACTCCATGTCAAGTCAAACTAAGTCATATAAATTGGGACGGGACGGAGGGAATAGAAGCTATGATGAGCAAATCCAACCTCTCCCCCTCCCCCAAAAAAAAAAAAGGTAACTAGAGGTGGTAGTTCAAATATCTTACTTATATAACGTGTAGAAGTTAGTGCAACTTTACACAACAAATGAGAGTGCAAATGAAGTCCACAATTGTACCTTGATCTCCACTATTTATGAATGACAAAAGATCATCAACTGATCTTTCATCTACCCGGGGCTCTTCTTCTACATCAACATTCTGGAAAATGGAAATGAAAATCAGTAAACCATTAATGAATTAATGAAGAAAGAGAGATGCACATCACAACAATTACATCAATATAAGTGAACATGACTTGAGTAATCAACGTGGGATAAATGTCAAAGCACCTTTAGCTTCTTTCTGTCATATAATTCTTTCCTTTTTCTTGCATAGAGTCTATTTAGAAGGCGGATACGTGGATCATCCGTCATATTTCTCAAAGGTTCCAACTTCTCCTCCTGACGAAATACCACTTCAATGTAAGAACAACCATAATATGGTAGTAGAAGGATATCAAAGTTCTCTGCTAGTGAGACAGACCTCTGTTAGATCATCAGGCAAATGGAAAGTTTCACGTATTTCCTCGGGAGTTTTGCCTTCAATCACCCGAGCAAGTGCACGGCTCGTAAGGTCAACCACAGGCCTTAGTTGAAGGCTGTCAGCAGCAGAAGCCAAATCGCATAACGTCTTGGTATCTAACCGGACAAACTTCTCATCATGTTTCTTCCGTTCCTAGGTACGTAAATGACAACTGTTACACTTAGTGGAAGCCAAATGATTGAACATCCTATTACATAACATACTGAGCCCAGATGTTCCTTCATTGTGTGTGTGTGTGTGTGTGCGGGCGGGGGGGGGGGGGGGGATGCATTGTTTAAAAAGAAGCAAGAAAGATACCTTATTAGAACGGCCAGGAACTTGATGGAACCGACAAAACTCCAGTATTAACTCTAAGTTAGCAGGATTGACTCGTTCAGGAAGTGATATTGCACAATTTTTTGAAGATCCCTTGCCATTTTGAAGTAATTCCCGGCATATCACAGGGCAAAACATGGCAACCTCTTCCTCCACTTCTTGGATTGAACCATCAGCAGTTTCGAGCCAGATGTATGACTTCATCTGTACAGAATTAACCACAGCGTAAATTTAGCAGAAGATCTTGGACAAGGTCAGCTGATTGGAACATTAAATATGGGGAGCACTGGAAATGCAATAAAAATCTATTCCCACACATTGGACAGTGGCGCAGGATGTCACACTCCATTCCCATGCAAAAAAAGGATTTTGGCTATTATCCAAAAGAATTACTAATAGTTTCTTTAAATGAAGAAAGGGATGGTTCCACTTATCTCTACCATTCATACTAACAAACACAAAAGTTGTAATCAGATGAGTAATAACACATAATGACAACTATAATCATGCCACCAGTGCTAAATCTGCCATTATCAGTTCTTAAACAGGATCATATAATGCTTACAACATTTAAGGGCTATGATCTATATGACACATCTTGTGTCGTGATGCAACATGCCATCAATAAACTAAGAAACACCTAATTCTTCCATGCAGTATCCAACTACAAATTTAAGATAAGTCAAGAAAAGTATATAGCATAGCCAGTTCATCTTAAACACAAAACAACTACAATTCTCAAATCATGGCATCTCATAACACCTTAAGTGAATGCAGCTCACAACCTGACCCAAGCAACTGATATAAGACATCCTTGAAAGGGAATGGGATTGGATGAAGATAAAAGGGATAGAAGTTAAAGAGTCTCCTAAATTCACAAAGATCACAACCAAGTAGCCCTTTTTACTAGATAAATATATGCAAGTGTCATTTGAACATAGAGAAGTTATCTCATACCTCTGGTTTGACAATCGCCATAGGACCTCCAGACATAAGCTGATAAATCTGATAAAACTGTTTATGGGCCTTCTCAGAACTAGAGTATTATAAAGGTTCAACCTTAAAAGTGTCGATGTAATGAACAAAAAGAGGCTTTATTCCTTCAGAAGACAAGCATCAGTAACATACATCAAACCCTCGTAAGTAAACCTCTTCGGATTCCAACGAGACATGCACCTTCATGGAGATGGTTTCATCAGTAGTATATTATTCTCAAAGAAAAAACACAGCAGGTTGATCAAGTTGCATAAATTAACAAACACTAATTAAAAAAACATATGAATCATAATATTCCATTGTTTTGCCTATAAGGACTTTTACTTCTATCTGTGCTTGTTTTCCTTACTTAATTGTTCATTTCCATATCATTTCCACCATCACAGACTCTCTAACAGCATCCCCTAGTATTCGTTCCAACAGAAAATTCCAAAATCAATCAAGTTCCAAAACTGCCAACCACCTCCCATCTCTTCCCCAAAGAAATGGGGAAAATTTAGAAGTAGAATAATGAAACAATAAACAATCCCCAGAAATGAAATTTAACAGAAATGTAACAAAATTTCACTTCAATCGCTAACCCATGTATATGTATACACTCATCAGCATTTCTCCATTAAAACCCAATGAATAACCCAAAATAACACCAAAAATCAAGAAATGGAATAAATGAACACCCACCAACTAAAAAAAAAAACCCAATTAAACCAACTCGATTTTTACACGAAATTAACACCAACCCACCGATAAAGAACCAATTTTGAGTGTAAAACAAGATAGAGAAAGGTAAATAAATTCAGAACATCAAAAGGTGAAAACAGAAATGAAAAAAGATACCTCAATAAACAATGCAGTCACCTATGCCGCAGCAGAGATAAAAGCTGGAGGATAAAAAAAAAATCCCAGAGAAATAGGTAGGGTTTTAAACTAGCAAGAAAAGGGGAAGAAGGGATTTTTTTTCTTTTTTTTTTTGGCTCGGCGTTTGTTTTTTGTTTTTTTTTTTGTCTTTTTGTTTTTTCTTTCTCGATTGGAAGGAGAGTAGTCTCTGTAATTGTTTAGGTTTGTTTACCTGATAATAGGGGCCCTGACTGTCAATGGTAGTTTAGCAGATTCGGGCGTTTAGGGCTCTGTCTCTCAACAAGAATGGTGGCTGCTGCTGGGTTTAGGAAGGAGAAGAGGCAGCCTCAGCCTACTATTTTTATTTATTTTTATTTTATTTATTTACTTTTTTTGTTTTATAGGATAGGCTTGTGATAGTAAAAAGATCCTCAAGATAGGTTTAGGACGCTTGTTGAGCATTTTCACATCGTTGATTAATAGATTGGGTGTTTGAGTCACCGTGAAGATTAAGTGGAAATAATATAAATCTTCTTAGAAAAAAATAGAATTAGAGAGAGATTATCAACTTATAGAATAGGCTTGTAACAGTAGAAAGCTCACCAAGATAGGTTTCGAATGCTCGTCAAGCATTTTTATAGATTGAGCGTTTGATTCATGGGATTATATGGAAATATTGATTCTCCTAAAATGATTGAATAATGGAGAGACGACTGATTTATAGAATAAGCTTGTGACGATAAAAATGTTACTAAAATAGATTTGAAATGCTTGTTGAGCATCTCCACTGTTGATCCATAAATTAGGAGTTCGAGTCACCATGGAGATGAAATGAAAATACTATTAGTCCTCCTAAAAAATAAAATAAGGGAGAGACTATTGATTTATAAGATAGACTTGTGACAGTAAGAAACTCGCTAAGATAGGTTTGAAATGCTCGTTGAGCATTTCCCCTGTTGATCCATAGATGGACGTTTAAGTAACCACAAAGATTATATGGAAATACTATTGATTCTCTAGGGGGGGGAAAACAAGGGAGAGACAAAGCATGTTTGGTCATATGAGATAAAATGGTGATATGGTGAAATAGATATACGTATCTCTAATACACATAAGTTAGATTAGGTGAAATATTTTCAGATACATTGTATCCAAACATATAAAATTTGCATGTATTCGAAATACATTGACTCTCTTATTGTCTCTTTCCTCTTTTCTCTCAACTTGCTTTTTTTTTTTGTAAGTAAATTTTTATTTACCAAAGTAATTATTACACAACAATTTGAAGAAAGAAAAAACAAACTTGGACATCCTTGCTTCAAGCCTTACTAAAACATCACTTTCTAAACTTCTACCTCAACTGCTATATTAGGGGTAAACATTGAGTTCTCGATGTCTACTACCTGCCCTTTCTTGGTAGGATCCTCTTCCATGTATTTCTCTAATGATATGCCTAATCATGAACTCTTCACTTCTCTATTTGGATTGAAATATTCTGCAGTTATGCTCTATCCACAAGTGATAGATGGCTCCTGCCAAACTCATCCTATATACATGTGCATTATATTTCTTGCCATGCTAGCAGCTTATTCCATATTCCAGCAGTGAACGTGCTTGCAAAGAAGAGGTGATCAATATCTTCATCCTCCACTTGACACAAAGGACATGTCAAGTTAGTTGTTACTTCCCATTTCGCCATTCTATCATGTTGAAAGTCGCCTATTCAGTGCTATGTACAGTATGAAAAGCCACTTTGGTGCACCATAGTTTGACCATATCAGTCTCCTCCATTCCACTTTCACCTTGTCTCATCTCATCTTTTCATAAACCTTTCTTAATAGATTATTGTTCCATCTGCTTCAGACTGTATTCATTGTAACTAACAGCTTGTAGATATTTATTTGTTTTAAGTATTCTCTATACAAGCCAAGATGCTTGTTTTGCTTGGATGCCCCATATTTCTTTATGCCCATAATAACTATGTATTTATTCTACCCATACTTTGTCCTTCTTCTTACGGTTCCATAAGAGTTTTCCAATTGCAACATTGTTCTAGATGAATACATCAAGGAAATTGCTTATATTTCTCTCTTGCTTGTCTCTCTTCCTATATATCTATATTTCAGAATATATATGAGTTTTACAAATTTTTATATATTTGTGTATTCAAAATCAATTTCATCTAATGTATACGTCAACTTCATAAGTGTATCACCTAAGTTTCACACACTTTAATTTCAACTTGAGAACCACAGCACCCGTCGTACTTTTGGTTAATGAGTGCTCACGAATAAGTTATATCAAGTTTTTAATAATTTTTATTTACATATACAAAGCTTCTGTCGGGCTCAATGAGCTCGAGCACCCATTACCCTATACGTGAATTTGCCCATGAGCGTTATCCTCCGCAATTAATTTTGTAAGTTGGTGCATCATAAGCACACATGGTGTATGTCGGTAATAAGAAACTTATATTTTATATATATACATACATATATATTTCGAATATACATGATTACATATATAGTCATAGATATGATGTCAGATAACATGATTTTCATATATGAATCCTTTCGGATATTATTTTGAAAAGCATGGTCTCAAATAGATATTTTCTTTCAACAATATTTATTTATGGTCTTTTACTATATTCTTCCTAAATTGATATTTGCGTATAATCGAAAGATTCACTATGGTTTCGCTCACACTTTATTATAATATAGATATGAATTACCTTTTGTTCCTACATGCTCAGTATCTTTTCTGTACTGCGCTATATTTTTCTTATGATGTAGATGCGAGTGATCATTTTTAGGCACGTGGATTGAGAGTAGTTGTTCATAGTTTAGCAGTTGGTATGTCATTCTTATTCGGGGACATGATTTAGTTGTTTCTGTTCTTATTTTAGACATGTTTTTGGCTAGCTGGGGTTTTCCCGACAAGTTGGTTTATTCAATTTAGAGGCTTTCAGACAACTATTCAATTGTAATAGACTTATTATTGAAATCTATTCCAGTTATGGCTTTGGTTTAGAACTTCCACTTCAGTTTTTATATGATATGTTTAGATATGCTATGCCAAGAGTTAGCTTAGAATCACTTGATGTTTCAAGAACCGTGTCTTGACTAGGATGTAGACTTGGGTCGTGACAATACTCCTATCATTAAAAAAGTGTCTCACATATACTTATTTATCTAAGTGTTTTTTTTTAAAATCACGTAGGGGCATATATATGATCCTTTTTCATCAATAATTTTCTTTTTGCTTCTTTGATTATTTGACTTTCTCGTTCTTATTTTATTTTTTTCTTTCATCTTTTTGTGCAAAAATATGAGTTTTTTTTTTTTTAAAAAAGTGTGAATGAAAAAGGATAAAAAAGTAAGAAAAAAAGATTTAAAACTATTTTGTTAATATATTGTGATTTATTTTTGTATTTGTAAAATAAAATTAATGGGGCATATATGCTAAAATTTACAAGAAAATTGTGAAAAAATAAATTTGACATCAAAATAAATTCAAATTAGCTATTAAATTAAAGAAGCCAAAAAAAAAAATACGCGTGAGAAGGATCAAATATACCCAACATGAATTTTCTTATGATTTTTCCGTTAGAGGAAAATGATAAATGTGAGTCATTTGTGTAATCATATGAGTATATCGGAACCATTTTTATTACAAGGGTATATCAACTCTAAATAACAAAATTGAGGGATATATCAGATCATTTTTCCTTGAAATAAATACAAAGTAATTAATGAACTCTTGAAAAAAGAAATTTTTGAAACTTCTAAATTTGTCTAGGCTTCGAAAGTGTATTAATTGTAGGGGTAAAATGAAAAAAAATTAATTAATTTTATCTTAATTTAGTAAGTCAACAAATATTTAGAACATGAGGGGTGCTTTATTGGATGGATAAAGCGGACACTTATGTTTAATGATTTAGCTTGTCAATATCAACTTTTAAATATACTAATTCGCTAGTCAATCAATAAGCAATCGGTTGATTTAATATCAAATTAGTAATTATTAGGCATGTATTGACACAATCATTTCATGCTCCTTTAATTTCCTTTCACTTACCAATATATCGAAGTCCCATCAAACAAAATAAGTTTTCTAGCTCTACTTAAGTTGTTATTATGTAATATAAATCAGTAAATCACAATAACAAACACATGAAAGTTTAATAAACATTTATTTAACAAATATACTTATAAGTTTTTTCATAATGGGTTAATGTTTTACTCAATAAGAAAATTAAGTATAATCCTCCCTCGCACCTATAAACCGTTAATTATAAAAAAAATAATTTTTTCACCAACCGTTAATCTGATAATTCAATACTATAATTATAAACCAATTTTTATAATTGACTTGCCGATTACGATTCGATTTTGAATAATTTCAATATTTTTTAATAAGATAATCGATTTGTATGAGACGGAGGGAGTAGTTTTGAAGTGGGAAAACATGATGGGTGGTTAAGATTGGATAAATGTGTAGGCTAGTAGTTCCACTTGGCAACATAGGCTCCAGTCAGTCCTGTTCCTTAACATTTCATAATTAATTCTGGAAAGTGATGAATCATGCAAAGATGCATCTCATTTAATGTTTGCTTATAATAGTAATAATAGTATCATACTTTGTGAAACCAAAGCTATTACTACTAATAACTTGTTGGCATCATCATCTCCATATTTGTACAAGCAGAAACAAATCCATAAAACAAAAATGTGGCTTTTCAAGAGAAAAGGGGCTTCTGGGTTTTCATCTTCTTCAACTGCTGAGGAAGTTACACATGGAATTGATGGCTCTGGACTTACCGCCATTGTTACAGGTTCCACTAGATCTCCTTTTCACATGCTTCAAAATTGAAAATTATATATTTATTTGGGTATCGATTAGTATTAATTATTGTTGGGTGACATGCAATGGGTGTATGTATGTATTCCCTTTTTGCCTTAAAACAATAAAGGGTGACGCCTATTTCGAGTAAGCTACGGCATTAACAGTGGCAAAATCGGGATTTTCATAAGGGCTTTCAAAGTATAAAGAAGTAAACCCACAGAAATAAAAGGGTTCAATATTTACTAGCATGTATAAATAGTGTAATTTTTCACCGAAGTGGATTTGGATGAATCATAGGCTCTTACTAGCTCCGGGCTCCGGCCCAGGGTATGAAGTATGAACCAAGTAATTTCACATAGAAAATCTGTGGGCTGCTCTGCTTGCATTTGTTCTTTGTCCTAATCAATGGAAGACATTGGCCCTGCCTAGACATGGCTATAGAGAGTGTTAAAGCAAAAAGTCTAATATAGATGGTTAATGAGATGGGTGAACTCCATATAAGACTTAGGCAATCCTCCTT